TGTATTATCAATTTTTCCTATTTGATATTATAAATAAATAAAAAATAAATAAAAAAATAAAGCTTGTTATTATAATTAATTTAGCTTACAAATAAACTAGTCTGAGCTTTTATTCTTGCATATAATTTTTATTTTGTTATATATAATCTTAGTTTAGTTTAATACTTTTGTACTAAAATATATAGCTAAAATTATTAATAAATATATGAGCAAAGCTTTACCTTAATACTAATATATATATATTTTTTAATTATTAATTAATTATTTTTAATCTATATTTATATTTTATTTTAAAAATATTTTAAATTATAAATTTTCTAAATAAACTACCTGTTCAATACAAAATATATTAATTATAAAAAGTTTTAAAATTCTAATTAATATTAAATAAATATTATTAATTAACAAAACTAAAATTAAGTTTTTTTTATAATTTTATATATATAATATGATAATTTTATAACTTATATTTAAATTTATATAAATTAATTATAATTTTATAATTAACTATAGGTTTTTGTAAGTCTAAACCAACATTGTTCTAAAATTAATTTTAAAAATAGTATATTGTTAGTAAAACAATTAATAATACTAAATTAATATATGCAAATATTAATTATAAGAGAAAAGAATTAAATTTTATAAATACAATTAAGAAGTAAATGCTTTTTATAAAATTTATTATTTAAAAATCTAATTTTAAATTTTATAATTTTAGAGCATAAAAACTTGATATATAAAAATATATAACTTATAAAATATAAAATAAACTAATATCTTATATATTACAATTAGTCAAATAATATAATAAATCTTAATTTTTAAATTATATATATTATAAATATGGATCTAATTGTACTGTATTATAAACCTAATATTGTTATTAAAATTAAATTTTAAGGCAAAAATAAATATTAAAATAAAAATCATTAAACAAAATCAAACAAATTAAATCTAATTTTATTGAAAATTTTTATTAAATAAATTAAAATAATAAATTTTATTAGAAGTACATTAATTAGAAATTGAAAAAAACTTGTGCATGGCAACTTAGTAAAGTAGACAAGTTGTCATACTTCCAAGTAGTAGTTTGTGAGTTCAAAACCTACTGATAGCAAAATTTGAATAATCACCTATATAATATATAGACAGTATTACAATAATAGCATTCTGTTGATCAGTTGAGATAGGATACCTGTAACTATAGTTGTACTAGCATAACTGGCAGGTCTGGGATATCTGTATAACTTTAGTTACACAGAGGAATACAAATTGATACCAGGCAGTGCAAATCTAAAATAAGTCCTTAAACTGTATAAATCTGTAGAACTGAGAAGCCAGAGTTTATTTAGAAATTTTAAACAGAGGGTAATATAGATCTTTGATGGTACTACTGTAAAGACTAGACCTAGGAAATAGATACCAATGTGAAGAAATCAGATAGGCAAGAACCTCAGTGAAAAGTACCATCAACCAGGCCACCAGATTTCAGACCAGAGGAAAAGGATATTAGACTGACCTCAATATACTAAAAATAGGTCACAGTCCTTCTAAACTATCTGGATTAGGAGTCTAAGGTTAAAACAGAAATATACTAAAAATACTGGAATATGCTATGAAATCAGTGCTAAGGTTTGAATAAATTCTGTAAAGATAACTTTTGTTAGTATTCTAAAAGTAGGTAAATATTTAATAATGAAGAACTCTTACATTTTACTGGCAGATAATATACTCTGAAATGTTTAATGACCTGAAAACCAGTACAAAAAGAGTAGATACCCATATTGCTTAGACGGTATACTAGTTAGGTATATATGGAAGGTAAGTTGAGATTACATTATAACAGGGCAGATGATCAGAAGGTTTAAATGAATAATCTCCTAGTAGGTTATAGGTATAGCATCTAGTATAGAACCTTAGAGTGAACTACTTAAATAGGCAACCAAAAGTTGCATGTATAACAAGTTGTACTCTCATTTCTATAAAAATAGTTGTAATAGCTAACCCAATAAAAGTCAATAAAGTACTATCACAACTATGATCTTTAACAAAAAAAAAAAACCTTATAGAAACTAAACTTCTTAATTATAATAATAACTAATAATATTATCAAATTAATATATATATATTTTAGACTACCTATAGGCATTTGTTTTAAATATATATATGTATAATTTGTATTGCTTTAAATTAATTTATTGATGTATTAAAAGCTTTATATTGCTTATATTTAATTTGCTGCACATAAATAATTCAATTGTGTAAAATTATATATCTTATTAGTATAGATCATCTGATCACTTTGCTTTTTGTAACAGGTTTATAATGATTATACATAACTGAATTTTTATTTTTATACAATCTTATCGAATATATAATTTTTTAAAAAATATTATTGTATGCATGTGTAATATATAAAATATACTATACATCATAATTTATAAACTATATTTTACATATTTACTATTTTATACTATATATAATATTATATATTCTCTAGATCAGATTCTAAGATTCAGCCTACTAATCTGCTCACCTATACTGGTCTGCAAAAATTCTCTATCATATGGGTGAATTTTTTTAATTTGGTGATTATTAAAATTATATGTATGATGATATTTCATAAAACTTAATCCAATCATTTCCAATTATATTGCATAATTAAACTAGAAAAATATAATAAAAGAGAATATTTGATTGGTAGATCATTTTTTTAATCATAAATTGTTTATAAAACCATTATGAAATTGTTTATAAGTTATTTTACAAATTGTATGAGTTTTAGTTAAATGTAGCCAATCATAATATTGTTTATTACTATATATGTTACTTAATTATAATAATCATCATTCATATGTTTTACTAAACTATGCACTACTACTATTCATAATACTGCTTTTAATTTTAGCCTATACTATACTGATCTGCTATAATTTCAATAAGAACCAGAGAATAAATATAATTCTAAGTTAGGTAACCTAAAGTACAGTAGTCAACAAAAGGAATGCCTGATTTTTGATCAAAAAATAAAATTTTTATTTATTGAATTTTGGCTACAGATACATCAAAATTTTTTTTATATCTATTTAATACTTTATTGAGTGACCTCCTACATTTGTGATAATGTCGATTCTTCATGTTATTGAGTCTACAACTATATGAAGAACTGATATATCCAAATTTGACCATGTTTCTTGTAAAGCCATTTTAAGGTCAGATTTATTTCTCAGAAAGTCATCATGGTTCTGAATATTGTCCTTCACAATCTTTCAAATATTTTCTATAGGGTTAAGGTCAGAGGATCATAAGGGCCAATTCATATAATCAATGTTTTGTGAATTTAGCCAATCTGACATCTTATGAATCAGAACATTGTCATGTTGAAAAATCAGATGGGGGATGTTTAACAAATGAACTACAGCTAAAAACAGTATAAGATGGTCATTTAACATCTTGGTATAAATGTTTTATTAATTTTTTGCTTGAGACCTTTGTAATTATTAAAAAATACCATAGGACTTTTGATGTTATCTATAAAACAGGACCAAACCATTACTGAGACCCTTTCATTTCTAAAATTTGATTGCAAACACCATGTTTGTATCTCTCATCTGTGGAATGCCATACATGAACTTGACAGGATTGTTTACCTACTTCTATACTCATTTCATCTGAAAAAATAATACATCTCCAATAGTAAGTATCCTTATTTTTATTTTGATTACACCATTCTATACATTCTTTTCTATTGCTACTTGACAAAAAAGGTTTCAAGACAGCGATGCAAGAATGAAGTCCAACGTTGTGTAAGGTCCTAACTACAGTCTGCACACTGCATTGAAGGTTTAAATCCTTTACAATTTTGAGCAGTGACACATGTCTTTCCTTCAATGCTTTTTTTATTATGATGATCTTTTCTTGCTTCTTTAGGACAGGAGAATATCTAGACCAAGGTAAATTCTTGATTTTTTTGATCCTCCTGTATTTCTGTAAAAACCTTTAGACTGTTGTTGGGTTATGCTTAATCTTGTGAGCAACTTGTTCAGCGCTCATTATCTTGATATAAGCAAGGATCATTCCTTTCTCTTTTTCTGTCATTTGTTTGCGTGACATTTTCATAAAAACAAAAATTTTTTTTGCGTGTGCTTGGTTCCTTCGACGTCAAGGAAGCAAAAAATAAAAAAAAATATGCCTCAAAATTCGTAAGAATGGGGTACGCACAGCCCTTTTATTTGCTCACATGTGACGATCTGCAAATCGGGCGTTACTTTTGTTGACTACTGTACGTAGTACTATGTAAATGTAAATGTAGTAAAAGTTATCAGCAAAAGATGTCGCCTTAAAAAAAATATATATCTGCATTATAACTGATATTATTTATAGATGAATTCGATAATTTAATATAGAAAAATCTGTAATTTGCCGTAACTTTTATTGTAACTTGTAATATAAAAAATGCCGTAACTTATTACATACACGACACTTGACATCTAAATATACCGACACCTGGCTATAACGACATTTTTAAAATTTTGAACCTATATGCTAAATATGACAATACCACTTTCTGCTTAAACTGACATCTGAATATATCAGACAATTTATTTTTTTTGAGATGTCAATGGAGATAATTACGGAAGCTTCACCTGCACTTCTAATCAGAACCTACAAACCTTATTTCTCTGCTTATCGTTATCTGTGTATCATATAGTCAAATCAAACCTCCATTGTTTCTAGAATTGGCATCTATAATAAAGTTTTATGTTCAGTGGCGTATATCAACATCAATATATATAAAATTAGTATGCATGAATTTCGTTTTAGAAATTGCTATGACATATATGACTACCGAATATCTAATTTATCTGGATAGCCGGATAATCAGATAATACGCAGGTAGGAATTTTCCTAGCAGGTCCAATTCTTAATTTGCCTTCTTGTTTCGTTTTAAAAACATCGAAAAGATTTTGTTTCAATAAACGAGGCGCAACACTTAAAAAATGGATTGGAAAAAAAACGATGGCAATAAAGAACTACAAATCCTAGACCCTGATGGCAACAAAGAACTGCAAATCCTAAGCCATGATGGCAATAAAGAATTGCAAATTCTAGGCTCCGATGTAAATGAAGATAACGAAACTGACGAAGATACTGAAGATACTGATCCGCATTTATCCATCACCTCGGTTTTTTATGTTCATTTACCACAAAACATAGATCCAAGTATTCATCAACCGGTAATTCTTGGAAACTGTGCAACTTTAGGCAAGTGGAAAATACCGAAAGTCCTGCTTCGTAAGATTATGAACACAACTCTCTGGAAATCTGAGCCTGTGCGCATTCCTACACATATGGAGGATATATTCTATAAGTATGCTATTTGTCGTCGCGAAAATAAGTGGTTTGGTCGTAAAGGCAAACTAATAGTCGATCATTTTGAGGGTTATGGTGAAAAAACCAATCGCAAAATGGTGTTTCTTGAAAACCATTACGACTTATGGCAAGACAACTATTATATGAAACTCAATACAAGGTTCCTTAAAAATGAATTTCAATTTGTCAAATGTATTTACGAGAACATTAAAGGCATTCAAACTTTAAAGGATAGAATTATGGAATATCAATATATTTTTCGTCAGCACAAAGATCTCACTAATTCTGCAACAAATATCAATTTCATTCAGAATAAATTAATGTCTAGTGTCTCAAAGGAACAACGACTCTTCTTGTGCATTCTTCTCGGACATTATATGCTTCAACCAAACAAACCAATGATAAACAATTGTTATCTTTTACAGAACTTTCCATCTACCGCTTTATTGGAAGACCTTGAAAGTATAGATCCAGATTTCAGTCTCTCTGATACTAGGCATCTTGTCACACAAGCGATTCGAGCTTTAGTCCAACACAATTCTAAGTATGGCTTCACAACATGGTTTAAAATGTTCGCCCTTGCACCAATGCTCGATGAGTCATATGCTTTTATAGACACTATAGAATTTTATAATTTCGAAAAACATCCAGATCAGTTTTTTAATGCGTTGAAAGACAATGTGAAGCCCCACATTGATGAACTGTTTCAAATGAAGCATGTATTTTATAAAGCTGTACAGGTAATAATGTAATATGTAAAATTACTGATGTAATTATCTTGTTAAATGAGTTGAAACTAAACTTTATTTCTTTATAGAAACTAGTTTCATTATCGTATGACTTGGAAAGTCTTTTATTTTTGTGGGAAAAAATTATCGGGTTTGAGAAAACAGATGATCACTTGCGCAATGCGATGAAGAAAAGGATTGATGAATTAATAAAAGATGACAAGCCTTCTCAACTTAAAGTGCACTTTTATATTTTCCCGGAGAAGTTACAACTTGATGTCGCACAAAATTTCAGGACCAAACTTTTAAAGTTGCTAAAAGAAAGAAACTCAAGATGGAAATGGGAATATCCAGATATTGTTTCCTTTCAAGAGCTTCTTCAGGAGGCTAATTTACGGTGGCCAATTGAGGAATATCCTCAAATACTTGAATCAATTGCGGTATCCGATCAAATACTAGTATCGGAATCTTTTCCTGAAGTTATAAAATTTATATTGGAATCAAAAGCTACTGGAAGGAACCTTGATTTAATCTTTGAATCATCAGTCAAATGGTTTGAAAGGATGGTCTCCTTTCGCACATCCAATTTCATTGCTACTAATGGTCCAAATGCCAAAGAAAGTATAGCATACATTGTCTTTTATTATCTTTCTCGAATATATCCACTTGTTTCGCATCGCCAAAAATTTTCTTGTAGATTGAAAGATCACGCAGATAAAATAGTACTTTCGTTAGCCGATGATGTTATCTTCCCTCTTGCATCATATATCGATGAGTTTCATCATGATATTATTGATCATTTTGATACTTTATTGAGGCAAAAAATTGAACATTCTATTCAAGACCCGGATGATAAACTTTTAAAAATGATAATGCTCATATGTAATAGCAAAGTGTTTTTAAACGTGAATAATGGGTGAGTATTAATCACTTCTCTATCGCATTTATTGTTAGGAATGATGCTGAGAATTTGGGGTCTCAATTTAAAAATATAAACCCTAATAAAATCCATATATACTCTTTACTATAAACTCTAACCCTAAATTCTAACCTAACTCTAAAAAAAAAGCTAAAAAAATAATAATAATAATATAAAAATTGTTTAAAATTTTATATTAAAGTAATTTAAATTCTCAGCATCATCATTATCACGACATTTATTATTCATATTCTTGTATGTTTTTTTTTTTTTTTTTTTAACTAGCTTTTGTGAGAGAATATTATGCTTTATATTAGACCGTCTCCAACTAAACGATAAAAAAGTATATCATAAAGAAGCCTATCAGCTTTCGCTGCTTCGATATTCGCAATTTTGGACAGAAATATTTCAAGCAAAAGGCCACACAACTGAATTACATTCGCATCCATATGTTAAAAATGTGCGTGATCACGTAGTTAATATGGCTGCATCAATTGCTGAAAACACGATTACAATGGGATTTCTTCTGGAATTATTAAGGTACTCGGGTGATAAAAACGAAAGTCTTGTAAAATATTTTAATTCTGCTGCAGTAGAAAGTCAAGCAGAAGATACTGATAATCTCATCGTAACTGATGAAATTCTCGTTGCTATGCATCGGCAATGTCAGAAATACATGTCTACTTTTACGCGTCTTGATAAATTTTATGAACGATTTTGTTCGTCTGCCTTGGTAACAGATGCTAGAAAATACCATGACGATCTATTACACAGGCAAGATAACATAAAAACCGTCACTCTTGAGGAATCAGGTACTCGAGACCATTGGTCGATTCATTCCACAACAATTGATGTTATGGAGACCTCTTATCATTTGGTTGAATCGCAAACCTTCAATAATATTTTTCAGGCTGCATTAAAGACAGAAACGCGAGAGCTGAATGTTGAAATTGTAACCACGGAAATAATTCAGATGACTATTAAACACTATAACACAGTATGCCAAGGATATGAAAAGTGTGAAAACATCAAATGCTCTGAAGCAAATGAATTCTGGAAACATGTCGACCAAAATAATATTCGTTCTGAAATCGATTTTATGACTCCGAACTGGACTCGCACTCCCTCAAACAAGCAATTACAATCGTTAATTTCTTCAGTGACATACTTAATTAACATTCCAACATTGAAAGAAAAATTAAATAATCTTTTAATGGTCATAAAAAACTTGACAATACCACACAATCCGAACCAATGGGTTATAACATTTGCTAATTCACTAGATGACGAAAATTTAAAACTCGGCAATTTACAAAAAATATTTGGAAATGTAAACATGCAATTTAAAAAATTCAAATTATCGGAGGAGTTCTGGTCAATAATTAAAGAAATCGCTTGTTCAAAAGAATGCATTAATTTTCTACAAGAGCTTGTTGGTCATGATCTGAAAAATTTAATCAATGGTGCAGACGATCATTCCGATGAACGTTTGATCCAAGAAGATACCGTCTCAACATTTATTCAAGTAAAACAGGTTTTGGAGCCTTTGCTAAATAAAAGAGAGGACACCGCTCAATTTGCGGTAGATAACTTTATAAACAATCTAGTTGATATAATCAAAACAAATTCATCACTTGCTCCAAAGTTGAGACTGTGCAATGCACACACACAAGCATTAAAAAATATGTATAAAAATATTTCAAACCGAGGTGAAGTGACAAAAGAAAAGATTTTTTATGCAGTAACAAAAGGCGTATATTCTTTTACGAGAATAGAAAATAATGAATACCAATGCACTGCGACATTATCATATCCATCCAACAATATACGTGATGGCGTAGGATTAACAGAGTATGCTTTTAGTGACCTTCAGGATTTACGTGGGCGTGCTCTTTTAATAGCCAAAGCACCTGTTGATGCCAAAATGTCGGATAAAAATGATATGGTTAACGAAATAACCTCTGCTCATATGAATGAATTTGTAATTCAAGTAGACATATCTCAACAAATAATTGATGTATCTTCACAGCTTGTGGAGCTTGGTCACTTTGGATATCGTGATTTTAAAGCATCAACACGATCTACGCGAGAAATGGAAACTTTGTTACAAATTCTGATTGACCATTTAAATGATTGGCGAAATATCGTCAAAGAAGCACAAGAAAAACATTATTATTTGACTTTCTTCCTAGCTAGACACATCTTAACATTTTATGACTATTTTACATTCCAAGAAGGTCATGAAAACAACAAAAATAAATGTGCTATGCTCTTACGATTAGTTAATGATGAAGCTGAATTACCAGATATTGTAGAAGATTATACCATCTTCCGTGAATGTGATAATCATTTCGATATTCTCTGTGCGATTGGAGAAAAATTACACGATATTTTTATCAAAATTCCAAGTAAACGTCCAATAACAGCAAATGTTGAGCAAATAGCATCAGATATAGTTCATTCAGGACAACTTTTTGTTGCGACATGTATTAATAAATTAAGAGTACCAAATATTATTATGAGTTTGTATGCTGTTAATTTCGATAGATGCTATCCAGAATCTTGGCAAATATTAATTTGTAAGTCATCCACTAGAGCAGAAGAACTCTTTATTTTTACAAAGCGATGTTTCTTTGCAGCAAAGAATGGATATGAAAAGTATTTGTTTTGTATCGCGAATGTAGAATATCTTGAGTTCGACTTGCAATATCAATTAGTAACACATATACGTTCATTATGCCAACAAGAGAACAAATTCAATTTAGCTTTGATATGCTGTCGTGAAAAAGGAATGCTTCATCATATACTTGACCAATTTTCTGAATATGTTCATGTTACTGAAGGACTCGACGCAGAGTCTATGAGAAACATTTATAAAGAATTATGTCCGAATGTAATTGCGGTTTCTTCAGACTTATCTGGACAAGGAAAGACAGAATGGATTAAGGAACGCAGTTTTGAACATGATTTAATACCAAGAAGCTTTTTGGTTAGTGATGGCATGACATTTGGGGAACTTGTCCGAAGATTATCTGAAACTGAATTCCGAGAATTTGAAAGTTTGCATCTTAATATAATGTTAATAGACTATCCTTACGAAGTTAATATGTTTTTATTTGAATTATTGTCGCTTAGAATAGCAAGAAATGGAATCAACCTTGCTTGTATTCCATCGACATTCATATTTATAGAAGTTGCCTCTACCATGGAACAATATTTGTTAAATTCATTGCCAATCACAGGATACTTAACAAGGCAACATTTAACATGGAATATCAATAACCTTATTAATTCTTATAATCATAATAGTTCAACTCAAATAGTTGCAAGATATTTAGATGCATATGATCGGAATATAATTAATGGAACAGATATTAGTTTCACGGAAGAAGATGAGCCAATACCTCAAGAACGTTGTCAGCAACTTTTTCAGAATTATTTCTTTAGAAATCGTACTCAAGATGTCACGTCTTATCGTTTTCTCGAAATATTTGTTAACGTTCTTGCCGATCAATTATTACGGATGTCATCAAGCGCATTTTTTCGTGTAGAACTACTGAACCAGATGGTAAATGATCAAAATATCAGAAAAACCTTGCTGGAAACTCTAATGGACGTTTCTTCTGATTTTGCAACACGTTCTGTGAACTCTAAGGCAGATCAATTAAAAAACTTATCTGATGCACCCAATGCAAATTTGGGGACTATTAAACATTGGGAAGATACAAATCATTTACTAGTATTTTTCTTATCGCAAACGCCTGACTCTATCTGCGCCCTTTACCGTGATAGAAATATGGTGCCGCAAAATGTTAAAAATCTGTTAAGTAGTCAGAATGTTGGGACAGTAGGAGAATTCATACTAGATAATTATGATGAAATGTCTCCGGATAAGATTTTGGAAAAGCTGGAATGTTTGGCACGCAATACACTTGAAGAACGCAAATATCCACCATATGCGCTTTCTACAGATAATCTTTTAAAAATGGCATTAATCCTTTTGCGAGCCCGTACTAATGTTCCTGTAGTTTGCTGTGGAGAGGCTGGGTGTGGAAAGGTAATTAAACAATTTTATTCATTCTGTCGTACTTATTCCATTTCAACATTTATCTAATAAAACATGCCATTCATATTAATTATATGTATACAGACAAGCTTAATCCAGTTTTTATCAATAGTTATAAATGTTGAATTTGAAGCTTTAAATTTACACGCTGGTATAAAAGAACAAGACATCCTGGATTTCATGAATAAAGCTGAAAAAATCGCACAAGAACGTCAAATATGGCTATTTTTTGATGAGATAAATACATGCAATCATATTGGATTGCTGGCTAATCTCATAGCACATAGGGAAATTTTTGGTCGAAAAATCCATCACAATATTAGGCTTTTCTCAGCTTGCAATCCATATCGGTTACGATTACAGTTAAAAAATGACGAACAAGCAGGTCTTTTGGCAAAAAGATACGAGGAACATAGCAATTTGGTTTATCAAGTTCATCCACTTCCTGATCAAATTCTGGATTACGTTTGGGATTATGGTATATTAAAACCATCAGATGAAAAGATCTATATTAACATTATGGTTAAAAAATATTTGGAAGAAGAAAGATTAGAATCCAAATTATTCGCTGAATTATTATTCGCTTCACAAGAATTTATTCGATATCATGAGGGAGCTCATAGCGTTAGTTTACGAGATGTAAAACGTGCCATCACTCTTGTCAAACACTTTCACAAGAGCCTAATTAATCGTCCACGTCCTAATCAACGTCCTAATCGTTCCTACCCTCAATATCCCTCTATAATTAATGGAATGGAAAAAGAGGTTGGAATTGTAGTCCGGTCTTATATCCTTGCACTATATCTTAGTTATCAAGTCAGAGTATTTGATCAAACATTACGTACACAATATCGCGAAAAAATATGCAAAACATTTAATGAATTCAGGACAACAAAAATAACACGAAACATGACGGAAGAGCTTTTTATAAAGATTATTAAAGAGGAACAGAAAGATTATATCATTAGGATGACAAAGCCACCGCAAACTGCAGAAAACGATGCATTACTTGAGAATGTGCTTGTAATGATTGTTTGTATATTTACCAAAATTCCCGTATTTATTATTGGTGCGCCTGGGTAAGTTATCCAATTCTATTATGATTAATGGTAACGTTATTGCGCAAAGTTAATATACAATTAAACATAAAATTAGGGCGTCAAAATCATTAGCAATTCGGTTAATTAGCCAGAACCTTCGCGGTGCTGATTCAGGTGATCCGTATTTCAAGACATTGCCGCAAGTACGAAAACATGAAAAAGTTATAATTACATTTCAATATTCGATTAATTATTCGCGTAATCATTCCTTCAGATTTATATTATTCCATACCAAGGCTCGTCTTCATCCACCTCTGATGGTATCATTAAGGTCTTTAAAAAAGCACAAAATTATCAAACGACTAGTTCTGAGGAATATCCTCTAAATACCGTAGTTCTACTTGATGAAGGCATTTAAAATTTAGTAATTTACATTTATAAAGGTTATGAATTTTTTTATTTATTTGTTCCGTAAATTTTTTAGTTGGATTGGCCGAGACAAGTCCACATAATCCATTGAAAGTTCTGCATTCTTTACTCGAACCAAGCTACCCAGCCGAATATCCAAATGTTTCAGTTGTTGGTATAAGTAATTGGAGATTAGACAATTCCAAATCAAGTAGAGCACTGCTGGTGCAAAGGTTAGTAATCAAACATATGTATATTTCACTTAATATTTCAATCTTATTCCAAAAATATTTGTGTAATTAGGCCTAAATTTGAAGAACGAGATTTGATTGACACAGCAGATAGATTATTTGAAAATAATAAAGCATGGTCAAAACGTTTTAATGTTCTTAGTGGTTTTAATTCTAAGAAAGTAAAACTAGAAGCATTGGCTAACTCTTATTTAGAGTATGAAAAAAAACAACCTATTGGTAATTTTCATGGACTTAGAGATTATTACTCGTTGGTAAAAAGTCTTGGCGGTAGTGAGGTATTACAATCAAAAAGTTTTCTTTTCCATTCTTTCAACATCTATTTTTATTAAAATTTAAATTAAATAGCTTGCACCAGAATCCATAAAAATGGCACTAGCAAGAAATTTTGGTGGAACAAATCAAATGGACAAACTGTATGACGAACATTTTGCCAATGTTTTAAAAGCATTTAACACAACCAATCACCATCAAATTCAATTTTCTGCTGAAGACCTTATCAAAGCCAACCTTAAAGATAAGAATGCTAGGCATTTAATGTTAATTGGTAAAAGTGATTCTATTGTCAATATTTTGACATATAAATTGAGATATTGGAATAAGGAGCTTTCGGAAAGTAAAGACCTTGATGCTATTGATGATGTGACATCTTGGGATCTAGAACCTGTAGTAATTTATGGAAGTCAGTTTCCAGACGATCGTGATGACGATTATCAGTATGGAGTATTGAGTCGTATTATGGTAAATATGCGTAATGTTCAAATGTTAAATATCAAGCATGTATGCGTTAATTTGTTTTTATATATTTATTCTAGATGTGTGTTGAAGCTGGAAGGCCGCTTATATTGACAGATCTTGAAATTATATATGGTATTTTAAATTGTACTCGTGACATCTTGTCTAAAATTTATATAAGAAGCCACATTTATTTACGGATTTTTTTTTTATAGGAAGTCTTTATGATTTGTGGAATCAGAATTACATAACTGTTGGTAAAGAGGGTGATATAAAATATTATACGCGCGTAGCATTGGGTGCTTATTCGAATCCAATGGTTTGCGTGCACGAAAACTTTCGTTGCATTTTGATACTTGATGAAAAGAATGTAAACCTAGCAGATCCGCCGCTTCTAAATCGATTTGAAAAACAAAAAATATCGATTAATGATGCTTTAAATGATTATATGGGAGGATTAGTAGTAAAACTTGCCGATTGGTCACATCAAATTTCAAAATACATAAAGAAGGGTGACACATCTAAATCCGAATTTAATGAGCATGATATTTTTATTGGGTTTGATAAAGAAGAAACCTTACAAAGTTTGGTTATTTATAATTGCAATAACAAAGAACTTAATAATGACGATGAAACAGTTCTGAATAAGTGTAAAGAATTATTAATAGGCATTGCAACATCAGATGGCATGGTGCGATCAAAGGAATCTATGTTGTCAGTTACAAATCATGAAGAAACGCAAAACTGGTATAATTTCTATTTTCATGAGCAACAACATGAAAACCTTTTCAAGTATATTCAATCACTATTAAATAATAATGAAGACACTATGAATAAGCAAGGGTTCAAAGTAATAATTAACACGTTTTCAAACATCAATACTGATATATCTTTCTGCTTGAATGATATCATGACATATCAAGTTGACAAGATTTCGACATTCAAATCTGAAGCACAGTTACAAAATCGAATTAAACATTTCTGGTTAGAATCAGATGATGAAATATTAATCCTTCAATGCGACCTCTCAATCGTTAATTCTGGATGTGTTAAACTTGCAAAATTCATTATTGAACAATGTAGAAATGAATACTTGTCTGCAGACAAGTTCTCGGAAAACACTAAGCCAATAAAGCATGTTTGCATCATTCTTCATGTACAACGAAAAAATGATACTAAATCATCATTTAATTTTATGTGTGGTTGGGATTTGGTTACAATTGAAACTCTAGAACCTCAAAAACATCACCTCTTAGATTATCTAGATGGAAGTATGTCTCAGATACTTGATAATACTTATAAATTTGAAGAGATTATCGAGCAAGAATTATTTTGGTGCTTGCTTTGTATGCGATTCCAATCTCCTAAATCCGTTGATTATATAAAGTTAGTTAATTATTTAAATTTAATAACTTGAATTTGAAATTTATTATAATTATGTCAATGCTTTTGTGTTTCTTTTAATAGATTTCTCTACCAACAAATTCCACGCCATACTACATTAATTGAATGTTTAAAGACCAGGTCACTTGAATGGCTTCAGGAAAATGCACCCGAAAATTGGCAATTCCAAGTTGCAACAAACAAAACTGATTTACATTTATATTCATCATTTTCTATTGCTCTTCAAACATATATTCGTAATCTGGTCAGAAAACCAATTGCAAAACTTCTCTGTGCACTGGAAAGATTTTCAGGTCTTTCGAGTCTTTTTAACAATAGTCACTTGGAACATGATCTATATGCAGATGAAACCGCAGTCAGTTTACTTACATTTTGGGAAAAAGTATTTATGGATCCTAAAATTATTAATATCGAATTCATGCTAGATCCACGACCAGATAGATACTTTATACAGAATAAAAACCATGATTTAGTATTTCCTTTTTCAATATACATCATGGGCCAAATTGATAAATTCAAAAGATTGTATGAAGAAGATTTAGCAATGTTAGAAGAAAAGGAAGAAAATTTAGATGGTTCTGGAGAACTAAAAGCTACTATTATTGATGACTGCATAGAAAGATTTTCTGCAAACATAATGTCGGCAGTTCCAATATTGAAGCAACCACAATTGACTGAATTTGCTGAATTATATTTCAAGGATTTTTTATCAATTTTTTCGCCAATACATAATGACAATGAATTCTTATCTTGGATCATCAGTCATAATATGGGACAACAAATACCAAATCCTTTTAGGCTTCATGTATATTGGTGGGATAATTCTGAAATTGCAATAACTGAATTACAACTGTCGATACTATGCCCTACGGTAATCAAAGAAATGCACGAATTGGAATTTGAACAAAGCAAAGAAGTGAACTTTGAACGATATTTGTTGGAGCAAATTGCAAAAATGACGATGGAAAAGCTTTGTACGATTGATATAAATGATACAAACTATATAAAAAATCAACTTTTGATATGGCAGCGTGATACCACAAATATTTTATCTTTATCAAGCAAATTACATAATTCTTTTGATAACCTAGCTATTCACAAACTGCGAATATATAATGATCTCTCAAAATCTCTCGAATTACCAAAACTTATTGAAATTCGGAATCTTGAAAAAGAGAAAGACAACGATGAAAACGATGAAGAAGCACTTTCAGAACAGTTTATAGATATAGTATTTGAAACGTTGTATGAACTACAACAAACAGAAGATAATATATCATTACAAAGATCTTTCACAAATAGGTGTTTAAACACATTACCACTCGAATCACCCATTCGTCTTCGTCTTTATGAAAAAATTTTTACGCAAGAACCTTTGCCATTATTAAGCTTCCCAACTATTCATCGTATCTTCCTCACAGAGTATGAAGACGATGAAATTTTCTTTAATTTAATTGATAATCCACTTGAAATTTTAGAAGAATCTGAACGCTTACAAGTCATAGAAGGCATTTTGAGTACTAAACATCCTGATTCAGAGATAACTGCTTTGTGTTGCGATGTAATTCAAACGCAAGTTTTTTCATCACACGATTTCCAAAAGCTATCGAAATATTTCCTCAAAGCAACAGAAGTTCTAGTTACTACTGATGCTAAAATATTACAGAGGATATCTTCCATTGCCCTTTTGAAAGCATTTATAAGTCAACTATGGAATTTTACGTCAATTAAAAGGTCTTTAACAGATCCCATAGAATTTGAATTTGAAAATGAAGAATTTAGTATTAATGATTTTAATCAGCGATTAGAATTACAGAAACCTTTAATTCATTCATTAATGTATTATTTGCTTAAGTCTTTGCGATTATTAGGATTTTCTATCGATGATATAAACCGATTTTGTGGAGTGCAGCAACAAATCATGCCATGGCTTGGTGGACTTGTGTGGGATGATGATGATAGCCGATTGGGTTATAATCCCTATTGGTATGTGGAACAATATAAGCGAGCTGAGTTTGCAGTCGCAAAAATGTTAAGTCGCGGAGATTGTGAATATTTGGATACATTAATAGAAGATATATTAGATCCAACAACAGAAAATCCAATCAATCTTCGGATTTCATTTGCAGGAATAATTATAATGAGACTTTATATTATTCGAGCAACACGTGAATGGAATCAATCTGAAACGCTGCTGGCACAAAAGATCGAAACTTATTTCGATACACTTCAGTTCCCTCAGTTCTATAAACAGCCAATGTTAGGCTTTTTATCAAATAAGCATGCACTTTGTAAACTTGTTGTCGAAGATGATAATAAAAAAATATTTATAGCCTCAGTAATCGCGCATATAATTGCTTTGCACATTTCAATTCCTCAAAATTCTTCTCCGTTAGCTACATATATGCAAGCATTGCAAACGTGTCAAGATGATTTTATTTTGACATGTCCTTCTGACGAGCTAACTGTTATAATGAACGCAATAATGGATGAAGTAAAGAATAATGATAGACGATTAACAAGGTAAAGTAATTTTTGATATGCTTTTTTTAAAAAAAAATTTGCATCTCCTCGATAGATAAGTGTAAATTCATGAAAAAAAAGAAAAAAGCTGCATTACTTCATAAGTCTTATCTGGAACCACAAGCAATCCATTTTTTTCTTTTACAAATTCTGGATATTCGCTTTCATTAGCTGATTCACCATAGAGATAGACAAAATTTGACAATAGGGAATCACAATTAGGGATAGGCAAATAGGGACAGGCAAATTTAAAACCTTATACGCAAAAAAAGTTTTTATTTCAAGAATTTGCATAAAATACATCCTTATCCAGGGAATTTCACCTGCATCTACACATGGGTGTTTAAATTATTTTTTTTTTAAAAAAAAAGCAATTTCAACAAACATTTCGACATTGCAAGTTTTTTTTATATAAATTCCACAAAGTAACTAATTCCTAATTCATTTTGAGATAAAGTAATAATTTCTCTAAAAATTTCGACCACTAAGAAAAATTAATTTCGGCCGACATAATTTTTATTAAGACGAGTAATTTAAATACCCATGTATACCTGCATCTAGTACTTAAAATTCAGTGCTCTCATGTTCTCAAAGTATATTCAATTTTTTTTAAGAACCCTAATATTTAAAATAGGGCTTTCTTCTTTGGGAACATTTTATTTTTTCAAAATGTTCTCAAAAAATTATTCAATATAATAAACTAGTACATCAAAAGAGTCATTTTGGTTTGAGGGTCAACCCGAATCTAACTCAAGTAAAAGTGTTCGTAGTTTGGTATTTATAGATTTGTACGTATTACATACTTTAAAATTATAAAGCCATGTATTTTATAATATTAAGTAATACTACAAAAATTTTAATTTGACTTAAGTTGGTATAAAGGATCTTGGGGTTGAATTTTTAGTTTGGGTTACTAGAATTAACAACATTTTAGGAACATTATAACTGAACATTAAAAATTTTTTGAGAACACAATAATTTAAGTTTTTTTGAGAACATAATTTTAAATTTGAATTTTAAGCACTGCCTGCATCTTGGAGAAAAATGCCCATACCTGTTAAAATTCTAGTATTTAACTCTTCAAAAAAATTCTTTATTAATAGATATCGATGCAATAAATGTGGAGAAATATACCTTGTTGGAGAATGCGGAAATGTGACAATGCATAGTCAATGTCCAACGTGCAAAGGAGAAATCGGTGGCAGGGATTATAATCAACCATCTGAAGGAAATACACGTTTAGACGGTGAACCATTAACGCAACAAAGAGATGCAAAAGACAAACGAGGTTATATAGTAGAAGAAAAAATAACGGAAACTTTTTACAGCATTAGAACAATGTCTCCAGCATCCTATAGGATAATCCATCTTTTTATACATGCAATTATTGGAATACAAGCTCCATCCGAAGTTGTCAGCAAATTTATCAAACATAATGCAAAAGAAAATAATACTAATCTTAATAGAGCAGAAGATATTGCCCCATTCTGTGCAATACACATCAATAATGATTGGGATGCGTTGAAAACTATACTTGCTTGTGATGATGAACAGTTAGCTTTAGTTTTGCACGCAATTCTGTCTGAAATGACACAACAACCGTTGCAACAACCAGCAAGGTTAAGTACACCTATTGAAAGAGAAACTTGGGAAAATCAATTTAGCCAGAAATATATTTTACCACTAACAAAAAATGTAATGGGAACTGCAACAGATTTTAGTATACTATTAGAAACAAATGTAACAAATGCTCAACAAAAAACTAAAGCTGAAGTCAGTGAAGTAATGAAACTAAATGATCAATATATGGAAAAGTATTTGCCTCGACTATGGCGTCTTGTTGGAAATGCAGATATTAATAATTTCCGGGCATATTACTTAAACGATGCAAAACATATAGAAGCCTATCCATTCCTGGCAATCTTTTTAAAACATGAAAACAACTTGCATCTAATAAGTCATCTCTCTCCAATTGTGGAATTTGTTCAAATTTTATCTACAAGCCTTTCATATCGTATTGAAAGACAAGAAGCAAGAACAACAACTTTCCGACAATTCATTCTTAAAGAAAGCGATAGTGATGGTACTGGTGAAACGCGTAGAACATTAGATAAAGCATTCATTAACTTTGCAGATTCATGGAATGACTTAATTCCATATGTCAATAGATATCAATGTCATCCCTTACCACAAGCAATGCCAAAAATGCATGACAATATTCCTGTTGTTTTTGGATTATTAGAACCAGTTAATGAGAGTTTGTTTTTGTGTGCAGCTATAGATTTTTTGGTTCAGCTTCAAAATGCTTTCCTTAATGAAGTTGTTGAAATTCCTTTAAAAACGTGTCAATCTTTAAAATTCTTAGAAAAACCAACCATTCAAAATGATGACGATAGGCATATTCAATCTACATATCATTTAAAGTCAATTACTCTTGATAACGCAAAAAGATCGAAAAATATTATCTCTTATGATAATAGAAATTCCGAGATCTTCAGATTTAGTCAATTTGATTTGAGAATTGGTCATGGTCGTGAAATCCAGTATGATTTACGTAAGATCGAAGCTGAATTAGCACTTGAATTAGTTCACGAAAAGTCATTGATTAAAGCTGTTGAAAAAGAATTGTATTTAGAACCTTTCGTGTATCATAAGGAAATGTTTTCTGGATCTATGACAATTTTAAGTGAAATTAAAAAATTAATGCCTCAAGAACATATTCCTGAGGATAAAAAAGCAATATTTGTAGGAACCTATTCTAGTTATGGAAATTATGGAGAAGGAGGATCCTCCGCATTAGAAAATCCAAAAGAATTGCTTTCAGCCTTGGAAATAATACTTTGTTTTCTAAAACGTACATCTGGAAGTGACTATGACACATTGATTACGGAATACATTGAAAATTGGATGAAGCTAGCAGTATTGAAAGAAAACAATAATAGTTATAAATTACTGTTAAAAGCTGGTCTACAACTTAAGCATATAGTAGCGTTATATGAGTTAGTAGAAGAGCATGTAGCTGATGTAGTTGCCACCTGTATTCCTCAAAAATATCAAGAAACGCTTGGTTATTCATTGCAGCAAGATATTTTAGATGCGGTTGATTTTGAATCATTAGAACAAGGAGAACAGAACCAATCAAATAAAAATTTACGTATTCCGGCTAAAGCATTTGCTACGGCATTGAAAAGGTTTATAATAAGATACCTAACTACCAATGAGAGTATTATTGAAACAGAGGATTTGATGTACTATTTGGTAGAAGATGAAAGCCTAGAATGTTGGCCTGACTGGGTAGACAAACGTGTCATTAAAAATAAATTTCCTCCGTCTTTACGAATTTCACATACATTTGAGACTTATCAATTTATAAAAGAAACTATTGAGGTAACTTTTTAACGTTTACATCAGCTGATACTGTTTGATAATATTAATATAGTTATAATTGAATGTTTTCTTCTTTTAGAAATCACAGATGGAGAAACGAGAAAAAGCCAAAGAAAATAAGCCTAGTTATAAAAAACCTCCAATTCGTAACAAAAAAGGAAAAAACAAATTTGATAGGGGCTAATAATAGTTATTGTACTGTAAATATTAATACTGATATTTAATTTTATCGTGCCAATACAGTACACTTTGAAAATACATTTATCCTTTGTATGTTCACGTAAATCTAACTATTTGAAACCTTAAATTCAAATGATTAAAAGATGACAAATTTGAAGTGTTAAATTCTTTTTTTTTTATAAATTTAAACAAATTGCATTCACTACTTGAACATGTGTGCAATATTTTTATTTTCAAAAAAATAAAAAAAAAGTTAAATCATTATATATTACGTGAAGTTATTTAATATCCATTAGTGTTAATTTTTAAATTGCATATAAACAAATAAATATCTTTGGTGAAAATGCGTGTAATTCACAAAGTGTTTCTTATATCAACAAATAAAAACTCCAATATGATGGTATTTAAAACTACAAACGATATTATTAAATTCTCTTTTTTTATGTAATTCATCTATGAGTTTTATACTTGTTGAAAATATTAAAAATCTAGATACAGCATTTGATATCTTTTCTCAAAAGGGGTTATTGTAAGAAAATTTTGATTGAATCTTGGTAAGAATGCGGGCAGATTTAGCCAATTTATTTAAATTGCTTTTATAATTAATAGAACGGGCCCAGATTCTAAATTCCAATGATTTCATTCCTTTAAAAGTATAATTAAAAAAACGGGATATGTTATCAATGGCTCTCGAATTTGTAGTAGTTATCTCATAAATATTTTCTTTTTCATGATAAAGAATTTTTGTTGCTATATGAAGAATGGACCTAACACCCTCGAGCACAATTTTATTGCCCTTTTGACTCACATGGAAAGCATGTTTATATCGATCACCTTCTGGACAAGAATCCACTTTCAAAAAGAAAGAAGCCTTAGCCTCAACAAACCCTACAAGCCAAGGTCTAGACATCACTAATTTAACATCGTCAGTACTTTTAAAAGGATAAGTAGTCATATTCCAAGCTGAAGAGATTGTATCAACATCGCCGGGGCTATCTTTTAAGACTTCGAAGATGGTGGATGTATTCGCTGAAGAGTCATTCAACATTTCTAGTGCTTTCTTAAACTTTATGTAATCATAGTACTTAGAAGTCAATAAAGGATACTGATTAAATATCGGAAGAACTAAGTCTTTTAAATGCTTATTATTTATTATTCTTAGTTTTGACTCATTATTGTGAGAATAAATTTTACCACAACCAATTTCTCGGCGTATATAATGAAGAATTCTTAAATTCTGAGCACTTTGCGTTATCTCAAAGGATAAAATTAAACGAGAACCAACGCTTTTTACGTCAAATGAGCCAGCGCCATCAGTAAAGCCTACTATCCATTTTTCAATCCAATCTCTTGAATCTGGGCGATTCTTCTTTGGTGGCAAAGGTTTACGACTTCTGGAAGTCGCTAAATAACGGTAAAAACTTGTAATGTCTATTGTTACTGGACTTTTTCGAATATAGTGTATATGTCGAATCATTTTATTTACTAAGTCTTTATTGTTAAGCCAGATAATAAAATACACAGTATTAATTAATACGTAAAAAAAAAATTTAGGGGGATAACTCAATACAGAAATGTTAAGTGATTGATCAGCGAATCAGATTAACTGCATCAATATTTATAAGCTAACTAAATGGTATTCACCCTAAAGGGAGCTTTGCTGAATAAACATAATTTCACCCTTTTTTAATTGATCCTTTAAAATTCTTCTCAAAATTTTGCCTGAATCGCTTTTTGGTATGGAATCAAGGAATAGCACACCACCTCTTAATTTCTTGTGTGGTGCTACTTTATCATTTACAAAATTTTGTATTTCTTTTGACATCCTCAAAGTTTTTTCGTGTTCATTTTTAAGAACAACGCAAGCCGTTGGATATTCAGTTAATTCCTTTTCAGAAAAATATGGTATCACGGCTACATCACCTACCGCCGGATGTGTGAGTAAGATTGATTCAAGCTCAGCTGGAGCAACTTGAAATCCCTTATAACATTATTTAAAGAATTAGCATATTATAATATTGCTGCGTAAAATGCATCTAGTAAACATGGATCACTTGCACTAATATGTGATACTATTAATAAAATGTATCAATGGTCGATTATAGAATAGTATCACATATATTGCAAGAGGTCCTTAAACTTTATCGAACCTTGTATTTGATTAATTCTTTGACACGATCCACAATAAAACAATTCCCTGATTTCAAAAAAAAAAAATTTTAATTTATCATCGAAAAAAGAATAAAAAAGGATTTATAAAAATTTCAAAATCACCTTGACGATCAATAACTGCAATATCTCCAGTATGGAAAAATCCATCACTATCAATCGCTGCATTTGTAGCTTCTTTGTTATTAAGGTATCCCTAATTTAATGTTTACAAAAATTGGTAAGACATTAAGATTGAACGATATTAAAGATTTATTTTTGATAATACCTTTACTATATTTGGTCCACGAACACATAATTCGCCAGGTTCGTCATATCCTGATTCTGTAAGATTAGATAATAATTAATTAATTAGAAAATATAAATATTTAATGATATAATATTGACTATTACCACTCCCATCTTCTGATAGTAGTTTAACTTCTAAATTTGGAAGAAGAACTCCAGAAGAACCTATTCATAAAATATTTATGCAAGTTGCTTTTAAGAAACATACATTAACATAATTACAATACATACAATTAATTTAATAAATTTAATACCTGAGACAATTTTCTCTTTCTCACATATCGATATTAATGCAGACGATTCAGTGAGCCCTTAATAAAATCAATAGCAAAATTTAAATTTGAGATTGTGTAAAAAAATGTGAAAGAATAAACGCTGGTAATATTACCATATCCCTGTCTAATTGGTATTTTATAAATATTATAAAAATCTTTGCTCAAATTTTCACTCAAAGGAGCTGCACCAGAAAATATAAATTCCACACTTGACATGCTTTCAACCGAAGGGGATCTAACTAATGCGAGTATGATCGGTGGAACCGCGTAAACAAAGTTGACTTTATATTTATGAACACATTGACAAAATGTCGTCAAATTGAATCCAGGAAGAACGACTGCGGAAGCACCCTTTTAAAGCGATTGATATCATGTAAATGCATTGACTAATAAATAATTTTCTCTCACTATTGCAAACTTACCGAAAATGTAACTAAATTAATGACAAAAACCAATCCGTATATATGGAAAAATGGCTACAGAAAAGAAAAATGATGGTGACAACTAAGTTTTTTTAAATAATAAACATTAAGAATAAAAATTTACCATTACTCCCATGAAGACATTACGAATACTAAAATAACCTGAAGATGAAATCTGTGCCATATTAGCTACAGCATTTGTATGTGTGATTTCAACCCCTTTTTGCTTTCCAGTGGTTCCAGAGCTATAGCACAGAAATGCGGTTGTTGTTTTAGCCTCGTTTGGTGAATATGAAACAGGTTCTGCTTCACGATCACCAATAAATGAACTATGAGGTTGAAATCCATGAACTGCTCTGTTGCCAAACAAAAAAATCCTTGATTTGGGAATCCTAGCTTCTTTGGCAGCTTTAATAGCAGTGTCAAGATATTCAAGATGCACAATTATAACCGAAGCACCTGAATCGATCAATTGAGATGCGAATTCGCCTGCCGTATTCTTTGGATTTACTGTTGTTACGGAGCCGCCTAAATGTCATTAATAAAAATTTTTAAATCACGATCTCATAGAATATTTTGACATACAGTGTATAAGATGTAACTAACTTACCGGCTGCTAATGTTCCAAAAACGACCACGGGATAATTAATCTACACCAAAATTCATTTTTCAATTGAATTTGAATCATTAAATAACATAAACGATAAAATGAATTATACTTGATTAGGAGAGAAGATTCCCAACACATCATGACGTTTAAACCCAATTTTATCTTGTAATCCAGCTGCAAATCTTTTCGAATCTCTCTTTAATTCACCAAAAGTGACCTTTTCGTCAGTAATCCCATCAATAAATATGACCTTATCGTCTGAAATTTTATTTGGATTACTGGTTACATATTGATAGACTCCCACATTGGGAATTTCAACGTCCGGATATCTCTTTGATTTAAAAATCATTGTATCGAATTTAATATTAACACGAAGAAAAATCGACCTTTTTATAATAATTCTCAGGGTCTAAAAATAGGATAAGTCGGATCAAAATTAAGCATACTGTATATATATACCGATACAATAACTCTGATATATGCACAATTGAATCTCAGAAATTTGTTGTGCCATCTACGCTAATAATTCTGACTAATTAAATATGAGCGTCAATCCAAACACGAATCTTATCACTTCTATTAATTTAGCAATTTATAATTTAATTGCCAATATTGGACAAGAATGAAACTAGTAACGATAATGAATTTGTCATTTTTATCGTTAAAATTTTAAATTACACTATGACATGTTTTGATTGACATCGCAATTTTTTTTTTGTATGGCAATCCCCAAAATTCTGGGTCGGAGTTGGGTAGGTATTAAGCAATACTAGCCGATTACGTATAGCGAAATTATCGGTTGAGCATTTTTATGTACTTAATTACCGTTAAGCAAATTTGGCTAATTCCGACCCAGCCTATCCCGACTCCGATGAACGTTTATTCCGGAATTTTGGTGGCATGTATTAGTTTTTTAGTGGTCCACAAAAGATTCACAGAGGATCCTAACATAAGATGATCTACTGCAAATTATATCTGTTGTCGGATCTAAATTGAATCCATAAAGATGCTTAGAATGTAAAACCGATAAGCAGATTGTCAGGGGTTAAATGTAGTTATTCTTATAAATTCCTGGACAAACAAACAAAATTAGTTCATATGCCGAAATCTCTTCGGTTTCGTCTTAAGAATCACTTAGTTCTTCGGGAGATAGTAATGTGTAATTTCGGAGAGTTAGATAAATCAGGACGAAACCGAAAATATTCCGGGAAATGGGCAATTCTTAATTTGACCCATTGTGTTAAAAGTCGATTTTTATAATAGTGATAGTGAATTGCCCGTATTGGTGTGTATATTAACATATATATATTGATTTATTCATATCGATAGATGCAACCTTGTCTTTGTTTAAGGTAGAATTATTTGATGCTAAATAATTTCATATATTCTATTAACATGTGAGTTCACATGTATCCATGCGACGATGTTTACATCAATTAGAAGCTATATTCGTAAGTACGTACGTACTTTAATGCACCACAGAGAGATAGTTGTTTATTATTTATAACTATCCTGGGGATGTGACTCTTATAAAAAAAATAAATTGCAATTGCTAAATAAAATAGATAAGTCTTTCAATAACACTAGATCACATTAGCGGTGTTCAACGTCACATAGATTTTTTTCTAGCAAAATTTAGGGATAGGAAACTAAACTATAGTAAGATATAGGTCTAAATTTTGGTTAGGGAGAGGTTTTTAAAGGCACTGAACTTTTTGTTTAGTGCATCTGGTATTGATTATTTAACTAGCTTAATCGTGATAAATCTGTTTCCATTTTGCGATACTCAAAGCAAACTAACTCTAAAACTGCTGAAATAATCACCCAAACTTAATATTAAAATTACGCAGGGATTTATCGTCCGTCCAGATTCTTATAATGCCCGATTTACAGCTGTTTTCATAAATTACCGATATCGGTCGAAATCAAAAATTTATTGATTCGATCTTGGTAATTTTCATTGGCCTAAAATTTATGAAAACAGTCGTAATAATATTCACGGTCCCTAAACGGTATACAGGTGGATTTGAGTCCAATATAATTATCGCAAAAATTCGTGCTGGTGTAACGATTGGTTGGGAGAGCGACGCATAATGAATGTGCAGCGTAGCTCCAACTGCTACTAGGAGCTATGTGGATTGAATGATACGAGATTTCTATAGGGACGGCTTAATGATGTTGTGAACTTAATGAACGAAAATCATTATGACTATTACTTTATGATGAAAACAAGATTCTCCCATTATTAAAATAAATGTTTCACTTTTTATACATTTGTTCAATGTGAAAGAGAGCACATTTTATAACCTACTTTATGACATCAGAGGCACCACGCTATCGTGTTAGCCTCATGCCAGTATGCACACTGCCTCATGTGGGAGCTTTAACAATCACGATACTAATTTAGTTAAATGATCAATTACACCAAAAAAGAAATTATTACACTGATGTACAGTCAACTTTCTCTAAGTGCAAGTCATTGGGCAAAAAATATTTTGCATTTAGAAAGAACATATTAAAAAAAACAACTTAATAATAATATATAATTAAATTCTCTCTAAATGCAAGTTAATAAGTTAAAAAAATATCTTGCACTTAAGAAAAACTTGCAATTAAATTAATCAATTCAATTGGTTAATAAAATTTCTTGCATTTATAAAGAATAATTTTATATACATATGGTTAAAAAAAGCTTTCATTTACAAAATAAAGAATTTGCACTTATTTTATAAGTCCCAACTTGGGCTAAGACTATTTTATTGCATTTATAGAGAACTTGCACTTAGAGAGTTGACTGTGCAGTAGTATTAACATTTATATCCTTATTTATAATTATATAATTATATACGAATTCGGTTAATAAATTTATTAATAGTAATTTTTTAACTATGTAACTATTTGCCCAAAACTTATTCCACTTAAGAGTATATATTTAAATCTCTAAACATCAATGTATTAAATACTATTTATATATAAGTACATAAATTTATAATCAGATAATATCGCTCAAAAAATTTAATATTGTCGTGCGGCAAATCGGCGAGTCTGTCGCTAATTCCTTCCAATTCTCGTGTAACCTACGGCGGCTAAGTCGAA